CGTTGCGTGTACATGTGATGTTGCAGGCAGCGCAGTTTTCCAGGGCATTTTACAGGGAAACTGTGTCGCGCAATAATAGCGCGAAAGAAGTAGAGAAACATTAAGACTTGGTAGCTAAATAGATTTCGTATTTAATTTAGAATTAGTATTTTATTGGCAAAACGCTCGCACGAGTAGCGCTGATGTGCATCGTGAGCCGCGTTCAGGAGCACGCATCCATCGGATCACGCATATCATTACTAGAGCGACACGATGAGCTATGAGCAGCTCACGTGACGAGCCATAATGCCCAAATATGGCGTGAGAGCCACTGCGACGTGCTAACACAAAATAGCGCACGCCCCCAAAATGAATGAAGCCTCACTCGGAAATTGATAATCGATGCTGTTGACAATCATCGTCATACCCCTCTCAGCATCATCTACTCGATCGCATCTCTCGCGATACTCATCTTTCCTCTCTCTCTCTCTCTAACTCTCTCTCTCTCTGCTCTCTCTCTCTCTCTCATCCTCTCTCTCTCTCGCTCCATCTCTCGTCTCTCGATCTCTCTCTCTCTCTACTCTCGCTCTCTCTACTCTCTCTTCTACTCTCTCTCTTCTACTCTCTCTCTCTCTCATCCCTCTTCTCTCGTACTCTGATCTCTCTCTCTCTCTCTCTCTCGATGAATGTGCCATGCGGCGCGCTGGTCGACGCCATGCAGGGATGAAGAGACTATTAAGACAAATTAAGCTGCAGATTAAGCAGTCTAATGCACACAAACGGGCAGCCTGTCTCCAAGGAGATGGCAATATCTAGCGAGAGCCATGCAAATGATGCTGCGCGCATTCGCAAGATTCGTTCGTTGTTCGGTAGTGTCATTGACACTTTCATTTATCTCTTAATTGTATTGAACAGTAAAAAATTGCACGTACCGTAACAAAAAAGCCATCCTTATTTATGTGAAAATATAACGGTGTGCTGAAGTCATATTGTTTTTTAAATGTGATTAAAAAGCCTTGAAAATAGTTTTAGCAATAGATTTCTGTAATCCTGTATAAATTATTTACATAATGGCGAAATACCCCACAATATTATAATCAGCATAATAGCTTTTATTTTATGTAAATTTATATTACTGTCATTTATTATTATATCATGCACTTACGATCCTGGCTGCAGAGGAAAGTTGTACTTTTGTGACTGCATTTTTGTTATAGTGATATTGATATTTGAATTTCCCTTGATATTAAATTTTCAAGTTGCTTTGCCATGTAAATCAGCATGTATCGTATATGCATATTTAATGCATGCGCTGCTCTTGTGAAACTGTCAGATATAGTTTCATACATGTTTATCTAGAGATTTAGCAGTAGTAGCGTTCATGGATGATAATTACACTACCATTTATCATATAGTATTGGTACGCATGATGATATTTCATACCATACATGTATTTTATCATTCTCTAGATAGTGGTGTTGGCGCTGGCATAGACTCCTACTATGAGTACCTTCTCAAGGCCTACATACTGCTGGGAGACGAAACATACCTGGAGCGATTCAACAAGGTACAATGTTCACGTTAATTCTTCGCCTAGACCTTAGTCGGATGTTTTTTATTATTTAGAAGGAATGATCTAATAATTAAGTTGAAATAATCATTGCATCACGTGCGTAACTAAAATTTGCAGTCCGATGGACAATGTTGTTGTGCACAATTGCGAATGGCACAACAGTATAACTTCATTCAGTTAAGCATGCATTCTCAGTTCGTATAATAATAAAAGCCACTGCACACAGTTTGCCACTGGGTTTCCTCCCAGGGCATATAACTATCAGGAATCAAAATAAACAGGACCGTCCAGGATGGCTTTGCAATATTTTTATCCCGGTCAGATTATGCCGCGAAATAGCTTGCATCTCAACGAACGCGTATCATAACATTTGTAATATATATATATATATATATATTTATTTATTTATGTGTATATATATATATTTATTTATGTGTATATATATATATATTTATTTATGTGTATATATATATATATATATATATATATATATTTACAATCCGCTCGTGGCAGACTGGTCTCACTCGTTTGTCACTGTTTTGTCGTGGATCGTGAAAATGCGTGAGGTCGCGGCGGGGGGCGTGATGGCCTCGGTGGGGCCGCGGAGATCGAACAAGACACCGTAGTGGGGGTCCTCGCAACTAATACGATGCCAGCATGGTCTGCCACGTCACTGATGTGATTGTCAGCAGCGTCACGCAGGCGTGACTGATGACACGAGCCGCCAGAGTGCGCCGCCATTAAAATGCTGCGCGGCATCGTCGTTACTCAGAAATACACTGTCGCCATCATGCAAGAACCGGCGATGAAGTGACCGTTAATTAATTTTCCGAGAAATTAAAAGACGTTTGCGCGGCTCTTGCCGAGCGAGGCATTTCCAAAGGCTGTCAGGCAAAGCCATGGCTTCGCCTAATGAGCCGTCATCAATTTTATTTTGGCGTCATCATCGTAATTTTTGGGCCCTTGCTGAGTACGAGAGTTTAGTTCTTGCTTTAATGCGGGATAAGAGCCGCGTGGCTATCGAGTGTTTCGAGTTGCTGGAGAGAGAGACCGCGCGCGCGCGCTATCGACACGCGCAATTCTTCGTAGATTACAGTTTTAATTCTGCGTGCGTTACAGCTTTAATTCGCCGTAGGTTCGATCTGTAACTGTCCGTACGTGTAATCCTTGCAGCACTACAGCTCGGTGATGAAGTACGTCAGTCAGGGTCCGATGCTCGTCGACGTGCACATGCATCGGCCGCACACCGCCTCGCGAAACTTTATGACGTCGCTGCTCGCCTTCTGGCCTGGATTACAGGTACGCACCAACTCACCGGCCAGCCTCTTCGCTCAGCTGGCTTGTACTCCTGCGGGACTTCGATCTCTAATCTGCTAGCAGGTGTACTGACTTGATGTCTGGCCTGGCTACATTTATATTGATATGCTCGTGATCGTGTTCTGTGTCACATTGGGATACACGATTATGCTACTAGCATTCTATCTATTAATGTATCCTTCTTTCTTCTAACTTTCTGCAACGCCCACTGTCTCCGTTCCCTTTTCATCTCCCTCTCTGCAACCTCTCCTACTATCCTCCTTCTTTACTGTCTCCTCTCATGTTCTCACTCTAACTGTCCCTCACTTTTATTCTCATTCTGTTGCCATGTCATTACCCACCATTTATTCGTGAATGCATCATGTTCTTTTCTTGCCGCTTCTTTCCTTGCCCCCGAAATGTCTATTCATTGCCCTCATTTTCTGTGAGTCTATAACGAATCCATTACATATTGATGTTATTCAAACAACACAATATAGTTTGGCAAAGGTTTTCGCAAAACCACAACATCAAAATCGCCGGCAAGAGAGCAGTTAGTAAATCATTGACATCCAGCGAAACAATATCTCACGGCTTCCGCTAAAAAATAGAAACAGCAAAACAAAAACAAGAATTAGTAAGAAGTTTAGGAGTTAGAAGAAGAAGGAGGGTTTAGGAGAAGAAGCTACTTAGTTTAACTTTACTTACTAAAAGGATTTTACCTGTGCTATGCATAACATAAAAGAACAATAGAGTGCACTTGACACACACTATATAAACAGAAATTGACTATAATACGATTATCTGAAGACCATACGCCTGCTAGTGTTATTTTGCGCGTAGCTTGGGCCACAATTAAAAAAATCTTTGTTTGCCTTCACCCGACCCAGGCTGAAAGGTTTGGGTAGGTAGGTAGGCTTTTTTTGAGGGGGGTCTTTTTACAAATTCAGCATGGTGTCTACATGCTCAGGTGTGCTTGTGTGTAGATACCTTTTTATGTTGAAGGTTTGGCTTGGTACATATAATGTATTGCCTACAGATTTAAATAATGTACAGTGATACAATTTGTAAAAAAAAAAGAATGGGGAAGATCAATAAATTTTTTTTAGTCGGGCCCCTTTTTGGCAGGTCGGTCGGGTGAGGGCAAACAAACAATATTTTTATGATGGCCTCAGCTTTGTGGGCTTTTGCGTCAGCTGTTGCCCAACATGAACCGCGTCGGTAACGAGCGTGGGAAATCTTCACGGGTGTTTGATTGAATAATTTCATCGGATCTCTATAGTTCACATGCTAATAAAGTTTATCTCAGTTAGATCCAAATTCAGTTAAAAATATCGTACACTGACGAAATTTTCGTCCATCTCTCCGATAGACTTCCTCAGGTCTCATGTTTCCAGGTATGTTTTCAGGTCTACCTGAGGAAGTGTATCGGAGAGATGGACGAAAATTTCGTCAGTGTAAGTTATTTTTAACTGAATTTTGATCTAACTGAGATAAACTTCACAGGTGTTATTCGGAGACATCAAGCCAGCGATCGAGACGCACGAGATGCTCTACCAGGTCATCCAGCGGCACAAGTTTCTGCCCGAAGCCTTCACGACCGAGTTCAAGGTGTACTGGGGCCAGCACCCGCTGCGGCCGGAATTCATTGAGAGCACCTACTTTCTCTACAAGGTAACGATGTGATAATTATATAATATATAAAATATATAATGATAATATGTTATATAACGAAGACTACTGCAATTACTACACTGTTTGGTATAATGTACAGTGTTTGTACTACTGCCACAGTCAAACCGGTGTTACCGATCACGTCTGGAGAATCAAACCTGTCTACAACAGACATTTGGGGTTCTCCCTTAAGTGACCATTAGATACATGTTGTGGCTGTACTACATAAACCGTTGACCAATCGCAGGGTCTGTGCTATTCTCTCTCCGCAACACACTGTGTTTCATAAGTCGACAGTACGATCGCTGAACGCATCGGGTTTTCCTCGAGGCTGAAAGCGACTGTGTGTAATCTCGCAGCATTCGGCCGGTCCCCCAGTGACAAGGGCGCATTCATTCACTCATACGGCAGTGCGGGAAAGAAATGGCATTAATTTGCAAGAAGAAGCCTCTAATCAGCTTGTTTGTCTGCACCTGTGTGTGTGTGTGTTTGCGCGAGCAGGCGACGGGCGACGCTCACTATCTGGAGGTGGGCAGGAGTGTGCTGGAGAGCCTTAACCAGTACGCGCGCGTGCCATGCGGATTCGCCGCAGTCAAGGACGTGCGCACCGGAAGCCACGAGGACAGGTGAGACACGCGCTCGTTAAGCACAGGTAGTTGCAGGTTCACAGGCGAGATAGGTAACTCGTAAAATAAGGAAGGGACACTCACAGATAACCTGCGAGGCAGGGCAATGACACTTGCAGGCAATCTGTGATAGGGGAGGTGACACGATGTGCTTTCCTGATAAAGATTGCCCATTCACGCGGATGCTTGCTGTGATGGCTGCATTCACTCGCGTGTAGTCGTCAATTCACTCTCGCCTCTGATTGAGTTTCTGTAGCCTGAAACGAACGTTTTTTTGCAAGTGATAAGGTTTAAACGAGAGGAGTTTTTCCGCATAGCTCATTTTGTTTTCTCAAGCAATTTTCTCAGTCCCAGTGTTGCGCAGCTATTGGCACAAAACTCATTATATAATTAATTGCTTGCTTGCGAATTGCTCGTGGTAGCCGCTATACGCATGCAGCTGGAATTTCTGGTAATTGTTCGTGAAAGATTTCCAGTGCGTCTCGTCGTCTAATGGCCGACTGCTAATGTGCTGCGATGATAATTAGCGAATATGAAAATGTAAGTTTATGTCTCCTTCACGCCTGCATCGGTGTAATTAGGTTGCACAATTTGCGGCGCACACTGGGTACTACGGCATACCTTGCACACTGTACGCTTGTCTTGTCGTCGTCACGGCACATGTTCTAAGCTACAGTAGTAGCAGGAATACGTATTAGAGGCATGATATTGAACATACATAGAATATATACATACATATATCACATAATAGAACGCATTATGGAATACATGGTAGTATACATACATAGAACACGTTATAGGATACATACATAGAACACGTTATAGGATACATACATAGAACACGTTATAGGATACATACATAGAACACGTTATAGGATACATACATAGAACACGTTATAGGATA